CCGAAAATCAACCACGTAAGCATCTACTTGTGACGTTTCCAAAGGATAGACCAGCTGCGCCTGGTTCTCCGCCTCAGAGCGGATGGACCTGGTAATTGGTACATCTGCCATGGATCGTAGTGGAACGGTGTGGTATAAGTGCTACCTACAATCTTAGAAATGGATCCTTTCAAAGCACATGTTTTCTCCCGGTCGGTAAAACATTTGCCACCGCACAGCAGCATCCAAATGCTTCCACCAACAAGCCCAGGAAGTGTCATCCAAGCAGCGCAGCTGTTGCAGGCCCTCTCGTGCAAACATGCTGTGTAGTATGAATGTCTTCTGCTGTATCCTACCACTCGTGCGAGCGAGAAGTATGCAAAAATACCATGCATCACTGTTTCCTTTACCAAGCAGACGTGTGAATCGCAGCTTGTAAGACGTTCACCCATATTTCATATTCAAATACTCACGGTACTTTTATGTCAACTGAGGTGCTGCCCAGGTCCTCGCCTTTGGAGGGCATGTGCGATGCGCAAGATGGTGAGATATTCATTACACTCACGCCTTACAATAAGGGTCGTGGAATGGGATTAGTAGTTTCACATACCACAAGGACTGCTTATATACACAGCAGTTTTGCAGGGGCGTACTCAGGTACTCAAAAGAGGGCGGGTGCTTAAGTTATCTACTCCTAATAAACATCTGAAACTAGCTTACCTATGATTTATATCAGGCTTACTGACATGATAGACATGATCCATCATGTTGTTTTTACTCAAAGTATACAAGACAACACGATATTAGAAACAATAAACTTATCCATCCTGGAATCGCATACGATTTTCTATTTCGTAATGGCGAAGGAATATGGTTCAAAACGCATGCATGCAACCAAAACAGTAATTCCCTGTGAAAATCGATCAACACATTGGGCACAAGGATCCTTCAAAATGTTTGGAATTTTCAACATTTATGTCCCCTTTCAGATCCTCCGTAATTTTTTGTTTAGCAGTTAGACTCCCAAAAATGAATGCCTAATGACATGAATGCAATAGCGTTCACTCTATCAAAGTTGAACAAGTCGTTTTCAAGATCTCTTGGAGGTGAGGAAAATTCTATATACAAGGTAAAGCACTTCTGTCAGTCCACAGGGAATATCGCAAATGAACAATTTCGAGAGCTTTCAAATGGGTCTGACTTCAAAATGGTAGACCTAATGATGAAAGGGTATTCGAGCGGCAGCCGTTCTGGAGCTGGATAGCAATACAGTGTGCCGTTGTGGTGGTCAGGACTTGGAAGCGGTCGTGTCGGCTGCAATCGACGCCGGTAAGAATGGTCGTGTCGGCTGGGATCGAGGCCGGTAAGAATGGTCGTGTCGGCTGGGATCGAGGCCGGTAAGAATGGTCGTGTCGGCTGGGACCGACGCCGGTAAGAATGGTCGTGTCGGCTGGGATCGAGGCCGGTAAGAATGGTCGTGTCGGCTGGGATCGAGGCCGGTAAGAATGGTCGTGTCGGCTGGGACCGACGCCGGTAAGAATGGTCATGTCGGCTGGGATCGAGGCCGGTAAGAATGGTCGTGTCGGCTGGAATCGACGCCGGTAAAAATGCGCAGTGTCTAGGCTTAATCCTCTAGCAGCGCGCTTCGCTCGGATGTATTGTTCGTCACAAATGAGGGCACTACGGGTGTACCAAGGGGCGCATTGGCATAAGGACTTTCGGGGCGCCCATTTAGACTTATCAAATTAATTGCATGCAGCAATATGTTAGCAAATAGATATATAATATATAGAGATAGATATATAGTAAATAGAGATATAATAAAACAATCCGATGTTGTTTTACGTTAAGCAAGGGATTTCACGCGACTGCGGTCCGCTAAACTCAATTTTCGGGATTATTTTTGCTGTGTTCCCTCCATCACATATTGAAATCCTGCACACGCCCCTGAGTGGTCCGTTACGACTAGTGAGACAGGAGAGCGTTATTACTTCATGAACTGATATGACAGTCTTTTAAAGAGGTGCCAGAACCGGACTGGGTCCACTCCTAACTGGACACCTGCCACCCGTCACCTAGTTCTTTCATTACAGAGTTTCTCCTGTGGTGGATCGGCCAGGAGCATTCCATATTCCATTACGGCTAGCGGTATCTCGTATCTCCTACCGAATCACGTTGGCTCGATTATGCAACACAATCAAGTGAAACGGCAGTTGCCTTTGGACGCCTGCTCAGCCGTAGCCTCTTCTCCAAACGTCAGCACCGGGCCGACAATGACGTGTGGATGGCTCCATGGCCAGTCACGACCACCACAAACTAGCGCCGCTCGCTTTCGTTTTTCCCGGCGGTCGGTTGTGCCACGCGGCGTGCTGCGGCGCGGCCGCCGCGGCCGCTCCGAAAGCGTCGCCTCGTGGCACGGGCGGCGGCGTGCCGACCACCCGACCCCCGTCCGACCGGCGCCCTGCAGCTTTTTATTTATCGCCGCCGGATTTATGACGTCGAGGCAGTAGTTTCTCCAAGGAGCAAGCGCCCCCACAAAAACGATGCGATCGGCCGAGGCGTCGCTGACAGGCAGGCCGCGCAGGCGGCTGGCGTGTCGCACTGACGATCCCCATCGCCTCTGACGTCTCTCTCTCTCTCTCTCTCTCTCTCTCTCTCTCTCTCTCTCTCTCTCTCTCTCTCTCTCTCTCTCTCTCTCTCTCTCTCTCTCTCTCTCTCTCTCTCTCTCTCTCTCTCCCCGGTTTCCGCCGCTCTACACAGCCGACCACTCCCAAGGAGGGAAAGGGCGCGGCCATATAAAGCTCCTTTCCCTCTCGTTCGCCAGCAGGAGATTCCGGTAACGCTGCATTGCCAAATCATTTCCGTCTTTCGCTCGCTTCCGCCCACCGTTGCCCGGAAGACAGCCACTTCCAACCCCGATGTTCGGTAATTGCGGATTTTGCACGTAATTACCCTTGAAGTGTCATGCTGGATACGGCATGTGCATTCACCGCTCCCATCATCTCCCAAGACCTCCCACACTCTCCCTCCTCTTGTTGCCGCAAATTGGCTCAGACAGATCTATCTCGTTGATATTGTTCAGGCTCTTGAGGACAGCAAAAAGGCTGCAAGTCGTGCGTTTGATGCGCCACTGATGCTATCGCATTTGATTTCATGGTGAGGAGTCTGGAGCTTCCCCGTCCATCGCACCAGTCAGGTTCTTCAAGCTCTTCTGCTGTAGGGCACCGGTCATAGTAGGCACGATTTCGACACAGGGTGGCGCTCCCGCTTGCCTGCATCCAGCACTTTACTGCCGGGGCTAATCTTTAACCTAGCTGACATGTCAGTCTATAGTGATGCCGAGCATGCGGTGATAACACGGAGCCCAGCATACTCCATACTCAACACCACTCCTTACCCGCTCATGTCTCGACAAAAGCCTGACCGTACATGTCCGGATGTGATCCCCAGTCCCTGCCTGGAGACCACATCCGGACACTGCCTCTCCTTGGATCCCTGACCGTTCATGTCCGGCTGTGATCTTCAGCCTCTGCCTGGAGACCACATCCGGACACTGCCCCTGCTTGAATCTCTGACCGTTCACGTCCGGACGTGATCCCCAGCCTCTGCCTGGAGACCATATCCGGACACTGCCTCTCCTTGCATCCCTGACCGTTCATGCCCGGATGTGATCCCCAGCCCTTGCCTGGAGACCACATCCGGACACTGCCTCTCCTTGGGTCGGCAGTTACTGATGCCCACTTACAATGCGGTTGCTTCGTTGTGGTTTCTTGAACGCTGTGCGGAATGAGTTTGCGCACCGATCTTACGCGCAGTTCTCCATTGTGAAATATTCCCGTGGACGACAAGGAGGGGGGCCTCAGCAGGATCACAGTCCATAACGAAAGCGTTCCATTAGATCGATAACACTGCACCTGACACGTAACTTAATGAATAACTTAATTAAGAAACAGGCGTTCGGTTGCTGCTTCCGGCATCTTATTAGCGCACATACTGGCGGCTGACAAAGTGGCGCACGGGCCGCCGAGCAGCATATCCACCACGCTCTCGCTCCTTCGACCTGCGACACGCCTCGTTTGCCTCTTTCCCATGCTTGTCTTTACGGGATACGAGC